TGTATCTAGTCTGGATTTAGGGTTTCTGCTTTGCATCTCTTACAGCTGAGACATAATCCACCAATTTGTACAGATGGTTTAAGGCCAAACATCACTAAAGCTTGTTTTGAAACCAGCATCTTTTGTCGACTCCCTGCCTTCATCTAATATTGTGTTGCATCTTTTATTCTTTAGTCTTACTTAAATTTGTCCTGTAGTCATTGTGTTTGGCAGTTTGGCTCTTTGGATCAACTCCTGCTGCTCATAAATGTGCTTTTTAAACAAATTTGACTTCTGATAATGTAATTAATCTGTTCTTCCAAGCAGTAGTTGGAGAGCAGTGCTGGTCTGAAATTGATAAGTCGTCTGTTTATTCCTTTTTTTCCTCATCTTTGACCCCAACTGGTCGAGGCAGATATCTGCTCTCCATGAAACTGGTTCTGCCGAAGGTTTCGTTTTTCCCACAAGTGCTCAAAAGGAATCCGTGGGTTTCTCTCTATAATACAATATTTTGAAGTCTTGATCTGTGAAAGTAACCCAAGATGATGCTAAACAAATGAACTTGAACTGAATTAATGGTATTTGACGCCATTAAGATAATAAGTGCAAGTCAAAATGTTCCAAAAATGAGGAGAAAAAAATCCTCCAACATCACCGATTATACACTAAAACTCAACACAGGTCACACATAAAGGTGGAAATTGTCATTAAAATCAAACAAAAAGACACAACAACTGTATTTACCATCAGTCCGATGTGGCCCTTCTCGCCTTTTGGACCCCTGTTTCCATTTTCTCCAATGGCTCCCCAGGGACCCTCTCGACCGGACAAACCGAGAGGTCCTAGTTCACCCTGCAGCCACAAAACAAACACAATCGGATCAGAAACTGCATAAAAATCTCCTACAGAATCACACCAGTCGAGTAAAACAGTAAAGTTCACCTTGTCTCCTTTGGGTCCAGGTTCTCCAGGTTCTCCAGGATGACCAACATCCCCCTAAAAGATGAGTAAAGTTTTCTTTCTGCACGTCATTCATTTTATGCTGCTGGGAAATTAAGCTTAGCTTGGGACAATGTGTTTGCCAATAAGTCATTCAGAAAGCATTTGCTGTGTTTATCTGTCGAGCCTGCAGCAGTTTCCACCTGCTTTCAAGGGGGAATGCAAATGTACAGGTTGTTTCGTATCAAATAAGCCACTCCATCTCTCTCTGCCATTTTCTAAAATAAACAGTTTTATAAACCCTCAGAGGACCCAGAATCAAGCAGTCAGGTCATCATCACATCATCAGGAACGTTTAATTTCATGCTTTATGAACGTTTTGTTCTTTTAGACGTATTTCAGCTGAGAGTCATTTAATTCCACCACGATATAAAACCCCAACAAGCACATCTGTTCGCCATCACTCTGGACAGACCGCCATAAAGCGAGCGGGGTGGAGGTAATGGTGATGTGATGAGGTCCTTAAAACTGGAAATATCGCCTCCTGTGGAGCGACCGCCAACATGTGTTCGTCTGCGGTCGTTTAAGGTGAGCGAACGGCGGATACCGACCTCTTTGCCGGCTGCTCCGGGTGGTCCAAGGGGGCCTTTCGAGCCCTCGCGCCCTCTCTCTCCGGGGGGCCCCTGAGGTCCAGTTTGCCCACAAGGACCGCGGTCTCCCTATCACACAGACGACAGGAAATATTGACTTTTCGATCTTAAAAAAACACGTTGGGCTGTCGGCTGTTCCACAACATTAAGCAAAGTCACTTCCATCCTGGAGATTTCTGCCATCTGCACCACAACCTGCAGCATTTCTGTTGTGCAACTTTAAACCTGTATGCTTCAAAAAACTGTCAATTTGTTTATACACTGCTTTAAATATTGCTGCTGTCTGATGCATTTGCACTTTTATATTCTGCTTTTGTATTAATTCTAATGTTTGGTTTGTCTCACATTGTTCCTTTTTTAATGCCTCAAGAGCACCATCCAGATTTCATCATGCTGTTGTTTGACCTCAGTATAATTACAATAAATCCACTGCTCCGTTCAGTGAAGCGGTCGCCTGATGCTACTCTGACTAAACCAGATGCAGCATTACTTATGCTTCACGTCTGCTGAATCAAATTTACACTTGATAACTCGTAGAACTGATTGTACAACAGCTGCGTCGTTGTTATAATGCTGATATTTGCTTCCAAGTTACAGTTTTGAACAGATACAAGTAAATAATTCTTTAAATGTCACTCCTGTAAATCTAAAT